AAAGAGTTACTTACCTTTAGCTCTTTTAGAAAAGGTTATGAGGAAAGCCTTAGCAAGGAGACTCCATCCCAGTTTGTGAGATATCCATGCTGAGTTTAGGGGCCTGATAGAAAACAATACTGCCCTCTAATGAAAATTTCAAATTCTGCAAGCAGAAGACACAAAAGCAAACACTGACATAGGCATGTGTGAAAAGCTTCTTTACATTTGTGTGCGAGCGTTTAAAAATTGTCCACTGCATGTAAGCCACAAGTGAAGTCAGGGAGGACTGTAAACTGACAGTGTTCAGGATATTGTTCTATTTATCTCCATATGAAAGAGACCAACCTGAGATGAACTTTCTCATCTCTTTGTGTCTTTTCATACATTTCATTTAACAAATTAAACCTCTATATATAAAAAAAGATATGATAAAGTCACTGAATGACACTTAAAGAGGTTTTGAATTATTTCTCTAATAGTCAAGTTAGATTTAAATCATAAAAAGGATGTGGTTCAGCTGAGATACAAGGTTAGTGTATATGAGGGGGATGTTCTCGTCTTAACAAAAGGCATGAAAGGATAAGACAGTATACGACGTGGTGATGGTAAGAATGTCCATTAAAGAGGTTTTGAATTATTTCTGTGCAGTGGTTAAGTATCACAATGAGAACTTTCTCCCCTGCTATGCTAAACATTGGAAACAAGCCCATCATTCTTTGTCATTATTTGAGATTATGGTAATTTACCGAAGACGCTTTTCACTACTTCTAGTATTATTCATCTCAAGAATAGACTCATGTGAGCGGGCTGGAATAGCTTCTATCCCTAAAAAACATGAAAACTTGCAGTCAACTGTTGATTTCAAAGCACCACAACATCCAGAAGAAGGTTTAAGAAAATGTATATTTACAGAGAATACAAATACAGTAAATATTAACATTTTAGGATCACATGGAGTAACATTTATTTAGAAAACAGCAATAATAAAACATTTTAATTAAAAACAATATATTTAAATCCATTTAATTTTAAAACATAATAAAACTGTACAATTTAGGTTTTCTTTTTTTGGCATGTGATTGTCGCTCACAGACGACAACAGTTTTAGCCAGACGACACTAACTGGTTGATTGTTCCAGCAGTGATTCATTTAGTGCTTCAGTCACTCTATTCAGTAAGGTGCAGCAACAGTTCAGGATGGAGGGTTTTTTCTTCTTCTCGGGGGCACATACAGTTGCCACTTCAGGACAAACGTGTGTAAATAAAAATGTCCCCTCTGTCAGAGGTTTGGAGGGAAAGATGACCTCATCCAGTTAAAACAGTTTGTGATAAAAAACCTCATAAAAGTTCCCTTACAGGCGCCGAACGTTCCTTTTGCTGCGAGCACTTCCCGGTATGATCTGGTTGGTCTTGGAGGACGTGAAGTGGGCTCTGGGCAGCACCACTCTGCAGGGCGTGGAGCCATGGAAGGCCTGCTGACAGAGGGTGCAGAAGTCAAACTGACAGCTGAGGCGTGTGCATTTGGCCCTCTTAGCCTCGGACGAATATGTCGATGGTGAGCCACAGCACTTGCAGGAACGAAGAGACTCATGCTGCTTCAGGCTGCTGGCGGCCTGGACAGAAGGAACAAAAAGTTTGTTAAAGTAGGAGTCAAAAAAATCTATGCTTTTAGTCGGGCTGTAAACTTTCTCGCTATGTAGTAAATCAAAAGTGCTCACATTCAGTAAGTCAATAGATCAGTACATCATCTTTTTTTTTTAGCAATCTTCAATTTATTAAAAAAATATTTCACTGTTGACGGTTCTTGAATGCGAGAATTTGGTGAATTGCATCAGACATCACTACAAATATTATTTTTCCAAGTGTTGTAAAGACCAAAAAGGTTTCCCTGGAAATAATCTACAGATTAAATCCATAATAAAGTAGAAGCCCTAATCTGAACCCCAGTGCTCACCTGCACATAGTCATTAAAGCGTGTACACTGGGAGTTGGGTGTTCTGCCCCTCTGAGAGGAATCTGTCTGCCTGCTGACTCTGCCGCTCAGTGTAGACGAAGAAGAAGACGATAAAGACGGGGTGCTTGATGAGGCCAGGGTCTGCATGCTGGACAGCACCAACCTGGACACGGCTACATCTCTGGTGAGACCGCAACCTCTCTGAGAGCTCCGTGACTCCTTTACGAGAATAAAAACATCATATTATTAGAATATGAAAGACACAGGGAATCCGTTCCAGGCACACACTTTGTATTTAAAGACTCCTAAACCTAGTTTAACTTTGTGTAATTATCTGCCATCACTTTTAATGAACATTACAACACATTTACAAATGGTAAGAAGTGTACAGTTTTCCTCATCGATGTATTATTCAACAAGAGTGTTTGACTTGTGTTGCCCACATTTGGAAACATAAAACAAACTCTAATAGTCAAGTTAAATTTAAATCATAAAAAAGGGTGTGGTTCAGCTGAGATACAAGGTTAGTGTATATGAAGGGGATGTTCTGGTCTTTAAAAAAATGCATAGGTCAGTGAACAGCATGGTTCAAAGTTTCTGTCTACACAAAAGGCATGAAAGGATAAGACAGTATACGACGTGCTCTACATGTTCATATGGTGTGGTGATGGTAAGAATGTCCATGGTTGTAAAGAATTCCCAAGATTATCTAAGGCAAATATTTCCAGAGTGCTATTAAGATTTTCTCCATATGGAGTACACGTGATGTGGGTCTTCTTACCCCGAGTTCCTGCTTGGCTTGACACCTTCTCTGAGCTGCTGTGTCCTCACAGATGATCTTCCTCCATGTCCTGCTCACCTTCTTACAGCTGTGAGGGGACAAGATGTAAACACATAATGAACATGAGAAAGCTGGTCTAATGTGAAAAATTTATCTACTCATGACTTTAGCAGAGGAGAATGTAGAGAAAATATATATATATCAGTTTTATTATTCATGGCAGTGTTTTTAGTTGTAAGGTTTGTAGTTGAAAAATTAACCTCAACACCACGGCATGGACTCAAAAAAGGCTGCCAGTTTCATTGAAGTATAACCCCCCTCCCCACATATTGAAGCATTAGTAAGTTTACCTTATAAGGTCCATGTCACTCAGCGAGGCAAGAATGTTGGTCAATATGCTTCTCATGTTCCTGGAAAGCAGTGATTCAAAAATATCTACGAACTCCAGGCCCATGTGACCTCCCGTCACTCGATCCAAAAGATAATCCTCTGCTACTTGTGAGGGGATGCTCCAGTCATACCTGAGACACAAGGAAACGATTGTGACTGATGTATTTCATGAATATTTACAGTCATGTCACTGTAAGCATTTTTAAAAACACCTGAAAGAAAGGGTCTGAATTAAACATGGTCTTCACAAAGCTACAGTCACCTTAGAGATAGTTTTACCCACCATATAAAATAATTGGTCATTTCACTAGTTTATTTACATTTTAATATTAATATTTATCTTACCTCTTGTTCCTCTGATAGCTCTTGGCAAGCTGTTCACACACAGCACGCTGGAACTTCAGAATAGGCAGATTAGGGTCCTTGTGATTGTCTTTTGGGGTGGATGACAGCGAATATGCTGCAGCTCTTCTTCTCTGACAATCTACAGGAGGGGACGCTGCCACCTGAGCCAGGAGTCTGCTACAGTTCTTTACACATTTGGAGGGGGATTTCTCAGTCTTCTCGTGGCGTGTGGCAACAGAAGACAGCAATGCCGGGGGTTTGTCCTGGATGTGGTCCTCTTCCTCCCCATGACGATCACCAAGCTGACTGTTGTGCAGAGACAGGTAGCCACTGTCTTCCAACACTTCATCGAGAGACCTGTCATGTTCCCTGCTGTTGCTGTTCTCCTTGTTGTGGACCGCTCTTGTGTTGGTGTTGAGAGAGAACAACACTGTGGTCACTCCTGCAGGTGGGCACTGAGGTTTGATGGGGACGGGCTCTTTCACAGGGGACGCTTTAAGGTGCAGTACCTTAGACTCTGCAGCAGAGCTTCTCTCCATTTTGTTTGCTCTGGTGGGGCTTTCGTAGCTGGGACATTTCATGGTGACTTTCTCTCAGGGAAACATAAGCAGGATGGAGTACGTAGATATCTATACAACACAACAAAGCAAAGCAGGAGGTAGTATTAGGATTACTTAGGTACCAAAAGGACATGCAAAGCAACAAGCCTCGTGCAAACAAGCTCAGCTGTCGCGTTACATTTGCTTACAAACTAACTAATAACTTGTCTGAGATTAGATAAAAACATTTCACTTAACCTTGTATCAAGCTTTTAACAAAAACACCTACGAACACAGTAACTCGTCGGACTAACATTTTAGCTGAATTTAAATCGATTTTGGCGCGATGGAGATTTGGCGGAAATAGAAGTGACGCGAAAATACACGAACAAGCGGCTTTTTTTCCAGTAATAAAAAGGATTTTTAAGGCAAGTGAGAGATATCTTGTTGGTTTATTATCTATTGTATATTCTATCATGAGTGCTCGCTTGTCAAACAACCAAGTTACTAGTCTGCATTTAGGCGCGTAGTGATACTTTGTGTATTGGAAGTAGCCTGTAATTAAGAAACTAGCGACCTAACTTTGCAGGTAACTATGCAACTACATACAGGACTTAAACTATCATTTGTAAATATGATCTGAAATTCTGCATACTTTCGGTAAATTTACTACATTTAATCCTCCAAGTGAGTCGGACGACATGCAGCCAACCCAGCAAGTAAACCCACTAGATGACAATATAAGTAGCTCGGAGTCTCGTACCTTAGGTTGTTTTATGTCGTTATCCACAGACTATTCCTTCCTTCCCTTATTTTTTCGTATTTTTGCAGTTTATGTAGCTTTCGTCCGGGAATGGGGACCCGCTCTTCAAGAATTAAATGCTCCTCAACTGAAAATCCGCCAGTCGATCCTGGTCATTTGAAATACGTGCGTAAAAGGCGCAACCCAATCGGTTGAAGCGGGTGGACATCCCTTTAAAACAATCCACCAATGGGAGCTGAGATTTGAAACCGACGTGTCTTGTGACGTAAGCGCGTAGCGAACGTGGTACTAGTATTTCCCTCTCGATCTGAAAGTCATTGAAATGGCCTCTAGAGGTCTGTTGTAGTGGTTAAGTTGTAAATCTACAAATTGTTGCTGTATCTGTGGTAAATTAATCCCACCCTGGGGTAAATTACACAGATGAAGAAGCACTGTCGTGGAAATTCGCTGTTACTTTCAGATATCTAAAATAATAATATGCTGTGGAAGTAGTGGCATGCTCAAAAGTCAAATTTTAAATATATTCTTATAGCAAAAACAATTACTTTTTTAAAGATGTATTTGTGCATTAGCTTTGATAATATGTTATATAATATGATGTGATGACTTTTTTTTTTTTTTTTTTTACAGTGGTTGCTTATTGCTGTCCAGTCTTAAACTGATATAGGTTAGTGGAATTAAAACATGTCCCACGTGCAGTGTGTGAATGGGCTGAAAGGTATGTAGTTATAATATTGCTTTGACTCAGGTATCAGAGAATAACGTTAAGGCATCAGAGTTTCAAATAGCACCTTCTTAAGCAATGTGGCCTATTTCAGTGAGGTGTTGTGAAAGAAGAAACATCAGATTTTCCTCATAGAGCCCTGTTTCGAGTTTCATACTGTTCAGCAGACAACATAGTCTTTTTGGAGACCTACTAAGTGATATGCTTTATGGAAACCACAAAGTAGCCTGAAAATGTGACTTGGATACAGTCAGGCATTGTTGTCAGGCATTGTTTTTAAAAAAAAAAGGAGCCAAAATACATTTGAAAGGACAGGTCATTTCACACCCGAGCAAGGAATGTGTGAAGTGACTCTTTCACTGAAACTAGACTGGGGGAAGTGGGAGGATGGGGCTGTATACTTCATTGTGCTTTCAGGCAAAAGGTTTTTTTTCTTACAGAAGATGGACCCAACAAAACTAAACAATTTTAGGATGTTTTCATCGTGCTGATGGTCAATGCATATGCAGCCCGTAGAATAAGGGGACTAAAGTGTAGGACTAGGACAGCTGACAGGGAAAATATACAGAAAGTGCAAAAAACTGATAGAGGCCACAGAGACACACACGCATGGGCATGCGCACACACGCACACACACACACGCACACACACACTCACACACTCTAGCTTTTGTGTGGGGAGGGAAGACCTTCTGATCCCTGACACTAAACATTGTTGTCGACTTGTGTGCATAAGTGTAATTCAACAATAGTCCCAGAATTAATTCATTTTCAATTATTCGTCCAATTTAATCAAATTCAACACAGCCATTATAGCACGGTCTCTGTTATTGTTGTTATTGTTGTTCTAATAATATAAAATATAAAGTTCGATTTTAAATTGAGATTTTCCATATCCTATTTTCCATTTTTAATTTAATTTGACGGTTTGACTTGTTTTTTGTTGTTGTTGTTTTTTTTTCACTCTGGAGAAGTCATGAGTAGAATCCCTCTTATCCCTGCGGAAATTTACCCGCAGAAGAAGATGCCTCGTCCTCTGCGCATGCGTCTCAGATTCAACATGTCTGCGCACTACAACAAGGTGGTAAAGAAGAATTATTTTTTTAAAAACAAGCGTCAACAACCGCTTGCTACGCTGTCTTTAGACACTTTATGAGTGAAACCTATCTCGTAATAGCCAGGCCGATGTGTAAGAAGTCAAGACGGATGTATTAGTCGGTTTGTTGTCGGGATTATAGATTCAATAATGTGAGTTCAATACTTTCCCTCACGTACTCAATGGTTTTATAGTTTGATATGCAGCATTTAAAACGTGACAGACATGCAGTCACTTTCACTGTTTCATTGTCCAAATTAAAAAAAAAAATATATATATAGTATAGGGAAAATAGTGTCCCCTTATACGATGGCTTACAGAAGAGTTGTTAACCTTCTTCCAAGAGGAAAGGAGAGTGTCTTTAGTCTGTGGAAACCTCGTCAACTAAAAGTGCCATGTTTCATCATCCAAGAACACACCATTAATCACGTTGGCAGAACTGTAAGAACTTTTCACGCTGGCACAACATTGATGGTAGCCAAGCTTCTGTCTGTAGAGGAGCTTTTGCCAAGAGGTCTCTACAGGATTACTTGAAGAAGACGGAGGTGGAGTACAATGACTGCTTGAGAGAATTCAACAAAGGGGTGACGGACCAACAGTGCAGTCAGGATGAACTGAGGACCAAGAGGGCCAAAGTGTCCCTTTTGGCTCCTCTGATCCAGAGCGTCAGAGAGCTGGACGCCAAACAAAAAGAGTTGGTTGAGACCGAGACGTTACTGACCGGTGAGACTGATCTGCAGCTTCTAAACTTCTAAAGACAAGAGACCATATCTCTAATTAATGTTAATCTCATTTTCATTTTTACTGAAAGAGGAAGATCCAGCCCTGAGAGAACTGGCAGAGTTGGAAAGAGAAAGCTGTCTGCAAGATATTCAAGATCTAAATCAAAAGGTAAATTACATTGGGGAGGGGGCAAAAAGCTGCAGTTGGCTGACCCTTTGAGGGGTCCTTTACATTCCCTCTTAACCTTTTTTTTGTGTTGCGAAGCAATATTTTGCTTTGCCTCCCATTGTCTTTTGTGATCCCCTGCAATATGTTTTACATTTCCTCCCAATACTTTAGTGTTCCCTCGCAATTCGTTTGTGCTACCTCCTCGGAAGGAGAAGGAGAAAGAAATGTACTGTGAGGGAATGCAAAAGTATGCCAAGGTAAAGCAAAAGTATAGCAGTGTAAAACAAAACATATTGCGAGGGAATGCAAAAGTAGCCCTCGACAAAACTCTCTCCAATGCCAGGTAGTAGTTAGAGGCAAATCCAGCTTTAAAAAAACAAAACAATAAGCTAACTGACAAAATTTAATTTGCACTGTTTTTTTTTTTTTTTTTTCAGACTTATTGCATCTTAGACATTCAGTTCTTTCTGCATCAAATCTTTCTTTTTTTATCTTTCTGTCAAATCACCTTCTTCTCATATCAGATCCTGGATCTGTTGATACCTGAGGAAGAGGAAGATCTGAGCGACCTCGTGCTAGAGGTTAAAGCTGGAGTCGGGGGTCAGGAGGCCATGCTATTCACATCAGAGGTCTGGATGTACTTAATGAGAATATGAATCATTTTATGTTTTTTAGAATGACACATAGTTAAAGAGACTGGGATCATGTTTTGTTATGGAGACAGAACAATATCAATCATTTTCCTATGATGCTTCCGAAGGTGCTTCAATAATCAGTGGGGTGGTCAGTTGTTGACGTTCTATAACTTTTGAAGCGAAATTTATATTCTTTCGTCAAAATAACTGCTAAGACGATTGTTGACACATTCCCTTTGTCACTGATACTGATACTGGTAGTGCATCACTAATCAGGACATCAATAGGCACCTTAAAATAATTTAGAGGTACTGAAGAAGCAACAAGGAGACAAAAGTACAACTGGTTCTGTTGTTTTTAAAAGCCGACTTGTCTCCTCTCCTCTGTAGGTGCTTGAAATGTACCATGGCTACGCTCACCACAACGGCTGGTCCTTTGACATCTTGGAACACATGACAAGTGAACTAGGTCAGTGGACTGGATACAGATTCCTGGGCTTTTGGTCATATAAAAGGGTCAGTTCACCGAAAACTATAAATATCTGGATTTTCCTCCTCTATTGTTTCATGGTGGCTAAATCATAGCAGATTAAATCTCCAACCTTATCAAATAAAGCTTAAAGTGTCTCTCTGTGGGGCTTTTTTTCTCTTTCCCATAAAGTAAATCAACCTTTGCTGCTTTCATGTGAACACCTAAGCTAGGTTGTCCTAAATGATTAAAAAATAATATAACAATACTTTTAGTTCAGGGTATTTAAATTAGGTGGATTAGTAACAGATCAGGATAGTGTGTACTGTATAGAGAACTTAATAACTTGTTCTTTTTCAAATAACTATGAGATGTTATAAGTAGATTACTGCAGTTTTTAAAATTGCAATCACTATTGCAATAACCATTTCCAAACACAGGGGGAGTCATTATTTAATCCCTGGAGAAACAGTCAAAAGGAGAGAACCACAGAAGCTACACATTAAAAGTATACACGTTGTTGCTTCCAGTTGGTAGTAGAATTTGTTGAACTTGTTGTTCGCTTGTTTACCAGGTGGACTTCGTCATGCCTCAGTCAGCATCAGCGGTCCTCAGAGCTACAAGAGGATGAAGTTTGAGGCTGGAGTCCATCGTGTTCAGCGGGTCCCCAAGACTGAAAAAACAGGGTCGAATGCACACCAGCACCATGACCGTGGCTGTGTTGCCCCAACCCACCGAGGTACAGCTGCAGACTTGAACACAAACCGCGTATTCATCCCTGTTGTTTTCACTGCTGCAGTTAAAACAAATCGTTTTTTTCTTCTGCTCATACAATGTGAATTAAGACCTATGTAAAATGTGAGTGTTTGTGTTCCTGTTAGATCTCTTTCACGATAAATCCAAAGGACCTGAGGATAGACACAATGAGAGCAAGTGGAGCCGGAGGTCAACATGTGAACACCACAGACAGTGCAGTCAGAATAGTCCACTTACCAACAGGTAAAAACTGTAAACTGGATGAAAAGATATTGAACACTTTACAATTAAGCTTTTTTTTTAAGTTAGGCTTTCAATTGTCTGTCACTAAATGAAAAAAAAAAACCATTGTAACAAGGTTAAAAACAAGAAAAAATCTCCGGTGTTGAAAAATGAAGCCAATGCAAAAGTGAAAAAAAAAAGCTGCGGTACATTGAGTGTCTGCTTGAGGATGGCCCCAAAATAATAATAATAGTTATTGTCTTCATGGGCAAACACTCTAAGGGTTAAGAAAAAAGTCATAAAGGAGCTATACTTTCACTTAAAGAGTTGTACTCTAATACTTACGTGTGTTTACTAGGCGTGGTCGCAGAGTGCCAGCAGGAACGCTCGCAGCTGAAGAACAAGGAGAAAGCAATGAAGGCTCTGAGAGCAAAACTGTACAGCATAAAGCATGAGGAGGAGACCAGCAAACGCTACAACCAGCGTAAAGTACAGGTAACATTTACACAGAATAACATGAGCATGTGATAGTTTAAAGGGGAAGGCAGTGAAATGTGACATGTCGAGAAACAGACTAGAAGGTTGGTTTTCTGATGGTTTTCCTTCCTAAACATTGCTCGCTTTTATTTGAAGCAGCTTTTTGAATGGTCACCATTGAAACTAAGAGAAGAAAAATAAAACATTTTATGTTCTTCGTTCTCCTCTAGATTGGCACTAGGGGCAGATCAGAGAAGATTCGAACCTACAACTTTGCCCAGGACCGTATAACAGACCACCGCATCGGCATGACGGTGCATGACATCAAGAGCTTCCTGCTGGGAGAGAATCTGCTGGACGAGATGAACTCCTCACTACAAGAGTTCTCCAACCAGGAGATACTCATGGAACTGCTGGGAGAAAACAACCAGGGAAAGTCATGAGTTTGGCTCTGAGGTGCATGGATTCTGATGGGACTGAAACTTCATGCCACATGTTTTATTACCGGTATTTGTTTATCCTACTACTGGTATGCTTCAAATCCGGCAGGAAAAACTTCGGAAAATGACCATGATGAATGGCAAGTAGGGGACCAAGGACTAATACCCCTGCCCATCTCTTAAAAAAAAAAAAAGAAAGACAACACATTTTTTTTTTTTGTTTCAAGACCTATGGAATGTGCGAAGCGGCTACCTACCTATTAACCAATGTCAGCACAAACCTGATAGTAGCAAATAAAACCGCAACATTCTGTAACAGTATTTGTTTTGTGAAATAATTATTCAAAAATGTGCTATAATTCAGCCACATGTTAAGTAGTGTGTCTTGGCACCAATGTCCGACAATCAGGCACAGATAATTTGCTATCCATTTGGGCCTTAAGATGGTGGATAGGGTATAGTTCAAGCAGAGCTCTGTGCTGGCCAGTCAACTTTTTCTACATAAATCTAAAAAAAAAAAAAAAAAAAAAAAAACTGTTTTCATATTGGTTG